TGAGACGCTTATCAATAAAATCAAATTATTCAACCTTCTGGAAGTTTTAAGCTTTCTTGGGAATGATCAAACATGCGGAGCGTAGCCGATTAATCCGACTGTGTCATATGTACACGAGCAGATGCAGTGTTCGTGCGTACTGAATCCTGTTCCAGGTTTACATTCCTCATTTAAATGCCAAAACGTCTCTTTCTATCATACCTGCCATCTGAGATGCTAAACGAACTAGCATGCCACCCGGTTGGGTTAGGAAAGTGGTTGAAAACCTTCCTTTATTTTCAGTATATGAGCGTGTATTTCGGCTAGTTGTTTATAGAGAAGCGAAAATTCCAATAGAGCAATTCAGAAGAGCATGCAGCCAGCTTATGCGTGCTTTCAGTAAATTCTCATCGGGCCTGTACTTTCAGATGGGAACGAGGTACAAACTGGAGCGTGTGAATGATAAGTGCAATCGATCACGGTTCGAATTTTCCTACATACTGGGTATGTCAGTAGAGGGGGGGGAGAAGGAGAGGAGAGGAGGCAGTAACTGGCCGTGTCACAAAAAGGGGGGGGGGATAAAGAGGCGCGGAGACATGCATGCAGTTAATCGATCCTTGCCGACGCAGACGCGGAGCCTGCAAGAGGTTCTTCTGCGCGCACAGAACCGACCTCCGTAGCCTGATGACAGTATCTTCTGCTGTTGCCAGTAAGCGCTGACCCAGTCGTTTAGGACAGTTAGGTGGGACCTTGTAGATCACACGGAAGGCTTCATTGGCATCCACATGATCCCTAGAATCAACCATGTGTGCGAGGATGGAGATGTGTATGCTCTTAACTTCACCCCTCCTCAACCATGCCGGTAGGTGTTCTCGTATTCTTGTGGCTAGGCGTCGACTCGTACGACCAATGTAGCTTGTTCCACAGGAGAAGGTCAAGAAGTAAATGCACATGGAGGTGGTCTTAGCTGATAACTTACCTTCCACGCTTAGGGCGCAGTTGGCCGAGAACAGTTCTCGAGCTCTTACTGCCGGGAAGGTCCATGAAGCGAGGCGTCTTCTCAGGAGTTCTCTCGATGCGTCACCTTGAAATGGGACTTAGAGGAACAGAGTTTTCCTGAGCGCCGTCGGCCTGAAGAGTTTTGTCGCGCGTTCAGCAGGATTTCTTTCAATAAATCTGTTACAATATCCGGTCTCGAGAAGCAGCTCCTGGATTCTTCTAAGTTCCTCATTAATGCTATCTACCAAACAGCGTTTTCTGGCCCTTCGCACCAAATAGCGGACCAGATTACGTTTCTGTTTGAGGGGTACGAAACTGGCGATGTCCGTATATTTTCCAGATTAAGTGTTCTTTCCATAGACGCTTCTTGGAATGCTGCCGTCAGCTCTTCTGCATAGAAGGGCGTCCAAGAAAGACAGGCAGCCTGTCCTTTCCACCTCAAACGCAAAAGTAAACGACGAGCGTACTTGATTTACAGAATCCAAGATGACAGATGTGGCTTAACTTATTGATTTCGTCATTTAGAATGATTTTCAATAGCAACAACTAATGCGCTTTCAAAGGGAATTACCAGACGTGCTCCTCGGTTATAGTAATTTCTGCGTGGACGAGTGGCGTGCATGACTGGCGTAAACACTCTCAGGCATCGCCGAAATTGGTTTGGCCATATGTGTATGCTGCACCCCAGTCAATTAGTTCTGTACACTTTCTTCTATGCAAATAACATTGTTTATTATGTCAAAACAACATCGCCAGGTAGTGATGATTGATTGCAGCTGCTCTAGCCTTGATATTTATCGATTTCTAGTTGTGGGAACAGTCGGGACAAGTGTATAGAAAATGAAAATAAAGATTTATGAAATAAGCGTTTGGCATAGTCAACAAAGCAAATGTTTCCAAGATGAGTAAGGTTTGTTTTCTTTTCACATTAACAAATAGGGTCACATGGAAACACGATTTGCATAACGTGACTAGATTCTTAAACTCGAGTTTTTTTTATCATTGGGCTTTAAATTGTAAATATGCGCAAAAACCCAACTGCTGTGTCAATCACTGCATGCTTCTTCATCTGTTTGAAAGGCATCACAATTGAGTCGCGGTCTTCTGTCTTGTACTTTGAGCAATCCACTGAATTGTTTGCGTTTTTCTTCATAAATTTCGAAAATGATTTTTTTAAATTTAAAATTCATATTGATCGAACTGTGAAAAATTTGGCGCCTCGGTGGAATTCGAACCCACGCAGTAAGGCGAAGACTTTAGTGAGCCTAGGACAGCCTACCAGCTCGTCCGAGTTTGGAAATGCGCCACTCTCCCTATCGTGCGATAGCAAAGTGGTTAGCAGAGTAACCCAAACCTATACAATATCAACTAGCCCCACACAGATATCGGGATACGTTCCAATATTGAAGACGTCAAAGACCTAAACATGATCGATATGGCGGTGTTTTAATTTGATGTCTCATCAATCTTCACGAGCGTCCCGGTCAGAGAGACAGTTGAGTACGTATGGGAAGTCCCGTCAACCAACCACCAGGAAATAAGTATTCAGGCGAGCACACTCAAGGAACTATTACTAAACTGCACACAAAATGGGCAGTTTCTTTTTGACAACTAAATATATGGACAAATAAATGAACACTGTCACTTACTGCCTCCTCTCCCTCTCCCCCCCCCCTCTATTCACATATCCGGTTCGTATGAAAAGTCGAACCGTAGTCGATTGCTCTTATCGCTCACACGTTCCAGTGTGTACCTCGTTCCCACATAAATGTGCAGGCCTAATGAGAATTTATCGATGGCACGCGTATGCGCGTCAAATGCTATTCAAAAACTGCGTAGTGTATCGTAAGGGCATTCATTTTCAATCTACACAGTTTATCCAAACAGATATCAGTATACTACTTGAGACAGAATGAAAATATAAAGTGTCCTTGTGTTGTAATAGCGGTTTCCGACGAAACATATGACTCGCGTATTCAGTCGGACGTTGCCAAGGCATGTAGAAGGAATTTTAATTGATTGGTGAGTGTAAAGTACGGTAAACCTCATAAGCCGCCATAATAATACTGTTAAATTTTTACCAATTAATTTTTAGTGGTTACTGCCTTGATGCTAGTGAGGGCTTTGGAGTCGGATACGGAGTATGAAAACCTCTTACTACAGGTGATTTCGCGTTAATTTCCACCTCCTTATGCTGGCCTTGACCCAAACCCTAACAAATCCACTCCCCCGTAGTCCTTCTAACCCTGCTCCTAATCCTAACATTAAATATCAAATTCTTAAGTGAAATGATTCAAACTCTAATTATATCCCTGATCCTAACGTCTTGAAATAAAGGGTGTTCATACTACAGCGCCCTACCGGACTATGCACCAAATTATCGCACTGTTTTCTGAAGAAATGAAAATCTGATATTTCTTATTTTCTGAAATAAAAAATACTTGTTTCTTCCGTCATAAATGGCGTTGAAAAACATGTTTAAATCTACGTGGTAAAAACTGCTCAAGGGCTGGTTGAAATTCTTCTATATGCCTGCCTTATTGTGTGTCTCTACTTTGTTTCCGTCTGAGAAGCTAAATTTGATCGGCTTATTTGTTCATAACAGTCACGAACAAAGACGTCCGCAGGAACTCTAGTAGTAACGATTGCCGCTTACCATCCAGGAGCTTCAAATTAAGTGATGGCGAATAAGAGATGTTGCTGCTTCTACTGCAAACAAAAGGAAATAAGTCTAATGTTCGTTTGACATTTGAACTAGAGCTGCGCCATATATCGTTTTTGAATGCAGTCTCAAGACGTTTTCGAATATTTTGGGCCGAACACATCTGAGGGAATGTTTAAAATTGCAGTACGTTTCTAGATATATACGCATCGTTTCTATGAGTGGTGCCCTTGAGAAAGGTCCCTTTTGCAACAACTAAGGATGAAAGGCGTGAACGTCTGGTGCGCCTTTTACTAAGCACAAGGTGTTGCTGAGCGGTAGGTTGGAGGCCTTGTTGACGGAATTCAAATATAACTCAGATCCCCTGATTTTCTGATAATAATCCTCTACCCGGTTGTCGATCAATCAGTTTGACTACCAAAATAACCTTATTAAGTCTTTCTCAACTACCTCGTTCTAACAACATTGCATAAACCAATAGGGGTGCAATTTACTCACTTCCCGATTGGGTGCCATACACCGCTTCTTCTGTCATTTTCTATACCTCTGAAATCCACTTAAATGTTCGTAGCATTTTTTTGGTATGAAAGTAGTCACGACATGTTTCATAACATATCACGATTTTAATAAAGCGGAGACGTTTTACGAATACATCAGGGACGTTTTTCGATATTCTATGAAAAAGGAATTTAAACGTAGAGTTTTACAAGAAATCTAGTTGCCTGTTGAGGAAGAATTCGTGGAATATCCAGCTTAGAACATGCCTCAATACTGAAAGGGCTTATGAAGTAGGATAAACACTATTAGCTTAGCAGTGGTCAGAAATTCAATAGAAGCTGAAATCCACAACCATCCAACAGAGGGCTACTCGAAACCCTGCCAAAACATAAAAAGAGGAAGTGATTACGGGACACAATCTAACAATATTCTGTGTGACCAGACATGTAAACCTTTGGTTAGGTACATATAACACTATAAGTAGGGCCAAAAGACGTCGCACAAAAAATACGCCATCAACACCTTCTGCAGATGTCATGGCACACCCAGCACAAACACATAAAATACAAGACGACAACAACCAGCGAAGCAACGATAAAAAACCAGGGGAAAAAAAGAAATCGTGCAGCAAAAAGGTCGATGGACATGAACAGCAGATCCCGAGGAATGCCTCCGAAGAACCGGAACCAGGGACGTCGGCGTCCGTGTCGCCCATCACGGGAAATGACATGGGTCCTAAAACCGTCAACCTATCGCAAATACTTCCGACTTTGATAAAAATGCAAACAAAACAGAGGCGAATGAGGATCTTAATCGACTGCAGCTTATATCCTCGGCAGATCATGGCAACCACATATTGCCTATGTCGGAGCACGAAACCACTGTGTTCTCGAGAGTGTCGCCGGTCAGAGGACAATGTCTGATTATTCAGGGACTTCCCGAATCCACAGCTAGTGCCTCCAAAGGGCGGGTCTCGGCAGACCTGCAACACTTTCAATGCCTACCCAACGGACTTCTGCGCCCCAATGAGGAAGTTTCGGTTCTCAAGGCCTTTAGGCTTGGAAAGCGCTCAATCGACATATCAGAGCACTCACGTCACCGACCACTCCAGATTGTGTTATCCAACCAAGAACAAGTAGGACTTATTCTCTCACGACGATTCCGAATCAAAGACACCAACCGCGGAGTTTTTTTTTCAGCCGGACTACACACCGGCAGAGAGAATAAAACGTCGACAATTAGTTCTGGAACTGAGAACAAGGTTGCAGAATGGCGAGACAGATCTTGTGATCTACAACAACCAGATAGTGCAGCGCCCTCCCCCAATCCGTTGGACCGAACCGATCCGGATGAGGGCACAGTAGTTTCCTTAAATGGGATCCCAAGCGGCACCATAATCAAACGCCCCAAAACTCTGAAACTAACATTTTTTTACACCAACGTGCAGAGTATATTGCCCAAGTTAGACGAACTGAAGATCGACATCTATGACCTTTCCCCTGACGTTGCCTCTTTGACAGAAACCTGGCTGTCTGAAAACGTGGATGACCGCGAATTAATGCTACCAGGATTTCAGTTGTTTCAAAGAGACAGGAGAGAGCGTCAGGGAGGAGGAGTCGTCACGTACGTAAAAGACGGCCTGCTTGTGTCAGAAAAAACAGAACAGTTTGCATGCAGCGCCGAGACTATCTGGCTCACTATAGGGGTACCAAGATCACATAGCCTTGAAGTTCTGACCGTCTATCGACCACCGAGGAATGACCCCGAGGCTGACGCTCGTCTGTTAGAGGAGCTAGGACGATTTGCTCTCCGGCCTGACGTCCTAATCATGGGCGACTTCAATGCACCGCTCATTAATTGGAGTTCACTATACGCGCGCGGCACAGAACTAGCTTTCGACCGACACTTCTTGGACATGGCACTCAGGTCATTTCTCACACAGCACGTCCTATTTCCCACGAGGGCCCGTGAGGGGCAGCAGTCAAACTGCTTAGACCTGGTTCTCACGAAATCGATGCACAGCATAGATGAGGTACAATATCTGCCTCCCTTAGGTCGAAGCGATCACGTTGTACTTAAATGGGACTATTCAATCTTTTTCGTGCCTGAACAGCTCATCAAAATTAGAAGAAATATTGGGCGTGGGGACTTCGATCAAATGAAGGCCGAAATCAACAATACGGACTGGGAATCAGCATTTTCCGGAAATATAGAGGAGGATTGGAAATGGTTCAGTGAATTATTGCATGCTCTCCTGACAAACCACTGCCCGCTTTCACGGAAGGGGCTAAATAATCGACCCCGGTGGCTGACCCAGGCGTTAAAAAAGGAAATAAATAAAAAACGGAGATTGATGGGACTCCTGTATCCATAAACGCATACAAAATACAGAGGAACTTAGTCAAGCGACTGAGCCTCAGGACACGGCAAAATTTTGAAAAAGACCTATTGAATCGTGCTATGGAAAATCCAAGATTATTCTACAGCTACATAAGAAGCAGCACACGAAACAGAGATCCAATTCCCCTCCTGAAGACAAGCGGAGACGTAGAGATTAGTGAGGATGTAGAAAAAGCTGAGCACTTTTCACAATTTTTCAAATTCACCTTTACTAGTGAAAGTCCATTTACTCCTCCCGACTACGACTTCGATAAGGGTCCAAAAATTGAGTTTGAATCTTTTGATGAAGCGACGGTTCGCAAAGAGCTAATGATGCTAAATGAATCGAAATCACCAGGTCCAGACGACCTACCGCCTAAGTTACTGATGGAGCTCGCTGCCGAACTAGCCAAACCATTGTCCATGCTTTTCCAAGCCTCGTTCGAAGCCGGCTGCTTGCCCGCCGACTGGAAATCTGCGCGGATCACACCTCTGCATAAAGGAGACAGCAAGGCCTCTGCAAACAATTACAGGCCAATTAGCCTCACTTCCATCTGCTGCAAACTCATGGAGAAAATAATCAAGCGAGAGCTGATGCGCTTCCTAGAGCAGCATAATTTATTATCTGATGCGCAGCATGGGTTTCGTAGTGGCAGGTCTTGCGTGACTAACCTGCTCAACTGTTTGGAACGTTGGACTCGGTCAGTTGATGAAGGCAATGCGCTGCATTTAGTCTATATCGACTTTAAAAAGGCATTTGATAGTGTCCCACATCAGCGACTCCTGCACAAACTGAGCCGAACAGGCGTTAGGGGTAACCTCTTAAAATGGATTCAAAGCTTCCTATTAGACCGTTGTCAAACTGTCCATGTCGGTGGCCAGAAGTCGACGGAGGTTGCCGTTGAAAGCGGTGTTCCCAAAGGCTAAGTTCTTGGTCCTACTTTGTTCATCATTTACGTCAACGATTGCGTGAGTGAACTGGATTGTGGTGTCGCCATGTTTGCTGATGACCTTAAGCTCTGGAGCGTCATTCGAACTGCAGATGACGAACAGCAATTGCAGGCGAACATAAACCGACTCCAACAGTGGTCACAGGCCTGGCTTCTGCCGTTCAACGAGAAAAAGTGCAATATTCTACGAGTCGGCAGAGCTCGCTCTCCGAACCATATGGCCTACTGCCTAAATGGTATACCACTGCAAGAAGTGGACTCGCAGAAGGACTTGGGAGTATGGATTACGACCTCGCTCAAACCCTCGCTGCACTACACGAAGATAGTCAAGTCTGCAATGTCAGACCTCTACCTTGTCAAGTGGGCTTTCTCTGCCTTTGATGAAGACTGCTTCGCTAAAGTCTTTCGAACGTTTGTGCGTCCGCAACTAGAATTTGCTATCCAAGCTTGGAGACCCTGGACCGCTAAGGACCTCAGCATCCTTGAAAGGGTTCAAAGGCGTGCAACGAAACTTGTGGCTGGACAGGGTTCATTACCATATGCAACGCGGTAAGCTAACCTTGATCTCCTTCCCTTGAGTTACAGGCAGTTACGCGGTGACCTGATACAAGCCTTCGTATCATATGCGGTCAGGACTGCAGCCTTGTACCGGGGGACTTCTTCGAGTTAGCAACCACCATAAATCTACGAGGCCATCCATTCAAACTACGTGTGACAGGGGCCAGACTGGACACACGAAAGTTCTTCTTCTCCAACAGAGTGCTAGAAGCCTGGAATGCCCTGCCTGTGGATGTCGTTATGTCTGCTTCCGTCGAGGTCTTTAAGAGGAAGCTGGATTTGTGTAGCAGTGTCCACTAAATTATCACCCCGATCTCTGTAACCTTAACAAATCCCGTTGTTATAATACTACTTGCTATATTTCATTAACATTTTAAATTGCATTTCTTATTGCGCCAACCCATCGCCTACGCTTACTGACATGCACATATGCAAATTTTGTCATCGGAGATATTATTTATTTCGCTGCACTCGAAACGACAGCTCTACAACTGCTCGTACCACTAAAATTCGAGACAGTTTGTTTGTCTGTACAGACCTGACGCTTTTCCGATTATTTGTTCCTTTATGATACCTTTTCGAGTTTTTGAGATTTTGCAGTTGCTTGTAAACAAATAGGGAGTTCAAAGGTGAAGACCTACATTTCCATCAATAAAATGAACTGAACTGATGTCAAACATCGCTACTGTAATGGAGAATGTAGCATGGAAGCGCATAATTAAAAATAAGCTATAATGCACTGGGCTACACGCAGTCATCTTAAAAAGTGGCTAATTACACAATTATAAAATAATGCAACTGAAAAACAGTGAGTAACGCGCAACTCCTAAAAGTATCTGCGGATGGGGAGATAATAACGTCCACAGGCAGAGCATTCCACGCCTGAATCAGAGCGTTGGCGACTAAAAACCCCATGCGTCCAGTCTTGTCCCAATCCCACTTTGTTTGAGAGGAAGTCCTCTCAAGTTAGTGTTGTTGACCAACTCACAGGCATCGCCGAATGCGAGACAACAATCCGGACCCGCAGCACACATAGCTCGGGCATTAGGTCGCGGCGTAGCTGTCTGTAGACAAAAGACGGTGTTTATAATTGTCTCAAGGCGTATGAAGTCATTAACACTCATCTTTCCCACTCCACCTGCATGACGAGGTCGGCAGG